ATGTTACTGAACCGATCTTCATAACGAAATAAGCGTGAGGATCAAAGCGATTATCACTTGACCCAAAGATATTTCGTTTGAATGGGCGATGTTTCATTCACTTCAAATTACAAATTTATCAATGTCAGTACGATCCCCGTTTATAACATACGTTACTAGAGTGGGCTGAGGTCGAGTGGCTTTATGGAGTCTTTCCATGTAACCGCCCTTTATACAAACCTCTCAAATGAATCCGCAATGCAGGCCATATACGAGCTATCAACGGTGCACGAAAGGACCACGAACATGTATGGCTTCTCCATCCGGCAGGTTATGGGCTCTCTTAGAAGAGTGCCTAGAGTGTTCAATCGTTACATGGTCCGGCAGCTATTTTGCCCCACATCAGAGAGCTGGCAGTGGGACAACGACTAGCGCCAACACTTACTGTAGCCTTTATGTCTGAAGTGCAAAGCCCAATAATCGATCTCCGACCGTTACTCTACTGTGGGTATATAGATGACTGCTCTGTCGTCTGCTCAATCCAGGTGGAGATGGGCAGATGTTCTGAGTTGCTGAACAGTCAGTCAGGGTACATAGAGTTCACCCGTGAGAAACCGAAAGAAATTTCTACCATTTTTAGACGTTCAGGTCAACTTGCCCAAAAACTTCTAAATACAAAATGGTACCGAAAGGCAAGCAACAAAAACATCTTAGTTCATTACCTATCAGCTCATCCTTCACACATAAAACGCGCGCTTCTGAAGAACATGTTCCGAACAGCGACAAAAGTGCGCACAGGAAAAGAAGGTGGAATCTCTAAGTTTGGCGCGAAAAATAATTATCTCTAATGGCTACGATACGGCACGAGCTTCTCAGGTTATAGAGGAAATCTATGCTCCCAAAGGACAAGTCTAGCGAAAATAAGGTTCCTTTACTCCTGTCTTTTATCTTTTACGAGGTAAGCACAGCTATTAAACGCTCCCCAAAAAGAGCACGTATGAATAAATCGGTAGCAATAGTTCACATACCTCCAAAAACACTGAAGCGTCAACTAGTCCACAACCAACTGTATGACCGCCTCTGCGAAACCAATAACTGCAAAGATTGCCCAAACGGCAGAGACGGCGACTGTATGAGTCGTGTATAATTTATCTAATCTCTTGCAAGGCATACGGCGATGAGTACATTGGCAAAATGGGTAGGCCACTATTCCTCCGTGTAAACGAGCACCTAGTTGGGTTGCGCAACTCTGATCTAAAAACTCCACTAAGCACGCATAGGGACCAAAAACATGCAGGAGTAATGTTTGGCGTCAAATTCATGATCCTCGCACAGAAATTAAGAACATCTACGCGTAAAACCTTAGAAGCCTTTTGGATATATAGCAAAGGCCCTAAAATGAACCGAGAAGAGGAGTGCCTCGTAATCACACGCGATCTCGAACTATACCTTGAGCTGATCTAACAGCCTGAGTTAGGCACAGCCCACTGATGCACTGAAGTTAAGCGGCTGGTCTTCAATGAATAATTGATAGAGCCAAACATCAAAACGGTGAGTGTTTTAAAGTGAAATTTTGACTATGCGATCCAAAATTCATTTCTAACGTTTTCTGCTAGGGTTATGGAGGTTTTGGCTTAGTAAATTGTGGATCAATGTGATCTTTCCAATCTCTGAAGAAGGCCACCCGCCAAAACGTTAGCCACCTCGAACAATGTTTATTCAAGCTGCATTACTGGCTGTATTGCTGCATGCTTCGCTGATATTCAATAAATAATATCAATAACACCTCGGAACGGCTTAATAGAAGAAAATATTCATTTATTCAAACTATGCCGAACTTAATAGATAGTCGGTCTTGGGCTTTATGTGTGTCGCGTAGCTAGACTGATCCTTACTTCCAACGCTCTTCGGTAGATAGATAATAAAGGGAAAGCAGAAAAATTTTCATTTTTTGTTATATGGCAATAAATGGAGCAACGACTTCTGCTGGAGAAGGATATTTCATAAGTACTAGTAATCATGCGATAGCTTGAATCTCCGCTACTGTGCTGCGCCATTCATTAAAGAGACGCATTAATAACGCCGTAGCATTCATAATAAAATTGTGTTTCACAAGGGCCGCGCATTTTCAATGTTATTTCACTGGAAGCACAAAAACCTCATGAACGCGTTAAGGAATGCCTTTCAGTTCAGCCGATCTCTTCTAGGGGATATACCCTCTACTGATGATAAGTCGATGTCAACTTATTCAGATCATCACATGAAGAGTGACAAAATTCCTCCGACATTGCATGACCAAAGTTGCGCTCTCATGGCTGACAGAATCAGTCATAGCCTTACTTTCAACTGTTTATACAGATCTCACTCAAAAACAATAATGAGAATGGAAAGGCGAGACAGCTCTCTAGTATTGCGTAACACAATGCCAGACCTCATAAAAGGCTCAGGATATGTTGAATGCTTATCAGAATAATATTGTTTTTGAGCGAGGTTTATACAAACAGCCAAAAATGAAGGTGTAGTTCATTCTATCAGTTATAATAGCTCGATTATGGTCGTTGCAATGTCATGGCAATGTTCAATGTCATTTCACTCGACAGGCGGTGATTTATATATTCGGAGTCGAATCTTTATGAGTAAGGTTATATTCTACTCCGGTGTCATAAACAACGTGTAAAGGATGGCGTATTCTCGTTTCAGCCAGGACAGTGACGTCGTGCTTTGTACTTCTGGCGCGGCCACTGTCAAACATAATTTTATTATCATTTTTAAGCCTTATGAAATGTTCTTCTCAAAAAGCCAGCGATGCAGAGAGCTAACTTGGATTTTGTCTTCAAACCCTTTCCAGTACTTTATACGGAAATTTCTTATCCAGCTAAGAGATAGGCTTGAAACTCTCTGCTACAAAATGGAAATGAGCCGTGGTCTGTGGGTGAAGTGAGTTTTGACATTACACGCAATGTAACATGCTTGTCGACGATCCCTCTATGTAAGTGTGTTCTTCCACGAGAAGCATTTGTTTCAGACGAAAGGTGCTGTGCAACTGATGAGGCCGCGAAGTAGAAACATGTGTATTGTACTATGCATGTGCTATAACACGCGTCATCAAAGGCTAAAGATAGGCTCCCATGTGAGTTAATTTCGAGCGGAGTCTTAGAAAACAGTTGGTTATAAAGGTGTGGAAAAATGTTCGTGTATCAGAGCCATAGGTTCTACCTAGGTTTTTTTTTGGAAACGAAGAAAACTTCTAAATTTTGTGGCAAAGATAACGTGCCACATGTGAATCGCGCTGCACCATCGGTGCACAGCAACTCACACATCCGCCGAGTGTGAAACCCTATTATAAGCAATGCTACACCGCATTGAAAAGGCATTCAGAAAACAAGCAATGTTAAAGTCTTCCAGATTAACACTATTACATGGTTACTTCAATCAACGAGAGATGTTTTGCCCAACAACATATGCACCAAAACGTGGTGAGCATCGAAACCATTTCTAATTTTAATTTTCCATTTTTTATTTTATTTTTTATTTTCACTGTTTCAACCAAGTAAAACTTTTTTCCTGAATAGAAGCATTATATCGGATTTGCCGAAAATTAAGCTTTCGAATGAGCTCTACCAATATTGCAGAAAAACTTTTCTCATCAAGAAGGTCTATTGCAAAAAAAAGCGTTCGCATTATAGAGAAGTGCCTCTTTCTGTTCTATGCACATCTGCAATCTATGACACTGGCTATTGCTACTGATCCCAAGTGTTTTAAACATACAAAATCAAAATATACGCTGCGAAGTTGAACAACACACTCATAAAGCACGACGTTTTCGTTTTTTTGTCCTTGTTACAACGCATTATACAAACTTTTTGGAAAACAAGCCTAGTTCCAATATATCCATTGTTCATGCTGTTGAATGATTGATATTAGTTTAGCGAAAACGCTTTGTTTTGTGAAAAGATGAGAAGTCCTGAACACGTTCCACGAAATGCGACTGACGAAAAAAGTGGAGTTTCAGAGTACAAGGGAGTTTTTTTTCTAAAGATGCTTAAAGAAGTCTTTCCCATGATAGTCAATGTCTCTATGATGGCACAGCTTGAATAAAATGATAACAATGCTACATCATACCTAAAAATCCTCTGAGACATTGGATAAAAGGACCACGAACGTAAAAAAACATTCTTCTCATTGTCAATGGATCTTTCTGCAAAGGTTCCAAAGCGAAACTCAATTTTGAATTTGCTATTTCTTAAACTAACGAGCTATCATAAAAAGAATGACCGAAACAGAAAGAAACTAGTTTAAATTAACAGCTGAAATAAGGTTACTTGTCGGAAGGAAATGGTGTTCGCACTAAAACATAAAAAAAAGAAATTCTTGAATTCATTCGCGTTTTTTACACAGTTGACATTGTAGGAGTTCTCTGAGTAAATTTCATTATTTTATGATGACAATGGTTTTTCATAACCTTAAAGTGCCAACTAATTCGCATATTTCCAATGCAGATCTACGGTAAAACGCGATACCTTGTCTATCACGGGCGAAATACGACGCCACGCAGTCTGGTATAGACTGTGCCAAAAGGTAACGAAAAGGTTTAAAAACAGTATGTCTTTTGTCGATTAAGGCAGCAATACGAAGATGATAGAAATATTTTCATCCGCTTAAACGATAGAGCTTAAAAATAGAGCTCTCGGCGTTGATCAAACCATGAGGGATGCGCCATGCATTCGTTTTCAAGTCTAACTTTGTTTGAGTTGATTTCAATGCATATCTGGCCTTTTACAATGACTTGCGGTGAACTCCCGCTGAATCGAGTCAACGCTGATTATCCTTTCAGACAAGCCAGCGACCAGTCCGGCCTACCGCTACCCTGCAAGGAATACTTCACTTGGTGGGCCATGAGAGTGAAGTGGAATCACCAACCTTGTGTGCGACGCAGAGCCCCTTCGAACACTGCGCCTTATACGCCCCTGCCAAACGATAGCCAAGTACACCAAGCCATGTAGAGTGATGTGCAAGACCTCCGCGTTAGGCGGGACTCAAATCCGCAGCTTACTCTATCAGGGGAGCGCGTGCTCTCACCAGTTGCACTACCAACGCCTATTTTGCATACCACTCTTTTTACACTACAGCGCATCTATCTGCCAGTCGTCGACGGCTTGACCCGGGTGGTCGGTATCGACATTAAGCCAGTCACGCTGACAGATATTGGGTATTAAATACAAATGGACTTGTTTTTATCTAACCGCTTTGGCGGTGGTAAGATTTCATAGGTATACCCATTGATGTAATGTGATGTGCAAAACCTTCGCGTTAGGCGCGATTCGAATCCGCACCTCACTCTATCCGGGGCGTCAGTAGTGCAACAAGTACGCGCTCCCAGATAGAGTAGTGAGGTGAGGGTTTGAGCCCAAGTGACACGAAAGCTTTGCATGTCACTCACATCACTGGACACAGCTAATGAAACCTCAACACTGCTGAAGCGATCAATAAAATTAAATCCATTTGTCCATAAGATTGACTGTTTTTTAGACCTCGCAATAAACATTCAAAATAATTTTAAAAAAGAATGTCTAAAGTCTAAACGAGGTTGGTTCGCCAGGGCCATACACCGGTGTTCCGAAGGTTTCGGCCTCCTCGTCGGTAACCCCCGCCTCACGGGTTTTTCGGAATTATTTTGAATATTTATTGTGAGGTTTTAAAAACAGTCGATCTTATGGGAATTCTGATCTAACACACGAAATCCATCGACTGAAAAAGTGGATGATGGACCAGTGTCATTGTACACTTTGCCATCACAACATGCGCCTCCCTCCTTGCTACAATGCGGGGCTTAATGTGGGGCGGGGTCACTGACGAGGAGGCCGAAACCTCCGAAACACCATTGTATGGTCCTGAAGTACCAAACTCAATTAGGCTTTAGACATTCTATTTTGGAATTGATTCCATTTGATAGCCGAGTATATTTATTGTACCTAGTTCGTGCTATCAGGGAGTCATGACCGGGTGGCTGTGATGTTCGCCGTGGTGTGCGTGTTCCAAGCCCCTCCATTTTTTTCCTCCAGCACTTTCCGAAAGTCAACAACGAACGCCTGATGAGACGCAACAACCAGGGTGTCTTCGAGATTGCAAGGAGACTCGCTCAATGACTCTTCTAACAATTCCCAAGACCGACTGTCTACCAACCTTGGCATGCTTCAGTTATTCTATTTTTTTTTCCTTCTTCTTGAGCGAGCACGAGCTGTCAAATACAAACTTTATCGTCACAATAAAACAGTTAACGTTTCGGCAGGTGGCTTTCGCCAGAGCCTGGAAATGTCAAAGTCGTTTACAATCCAATCAGTAAAACTCTTCCATCATATCTTTAGAGAAAATTGACAGACCTAGATTTTGGTCGCGCCAACACAAAGTCAACCTTAAACATACTCAACGCTTTCATTATAAATCTTCCCACTGAATAAACAAGTGAAGAACAACGGAACGGTATTCACATAGGCCACTAATGCACTATACCCGTTAAAACAACAGTCTTATTTACTGACTCATATCATGGGTGATTACGAGGCATTCTTCCCTGCGATTCACAGCTGGATTGGTCGTGTTTATACAGAACGCCTAAAGTGTCTTTCACGCTGATGTTTTTTGCTCCTACTCAAGGATGGTGACCTCCACATCAAATCCTCCGACATGCTTTTGGGCTCTATGTAAACTTAGAGGGGTGTTTTTCTAGTACAGTGCATGCCACCTAGGTGTTCTTCTATGCGAGCATAGAGCGGCCTACCCGTTTTGCCAATATATCTATCATCGCACGCTTTGCACAAGATTAGCTACACTGTGCCTACGTAGGAGCAAAAACCATCAGCGTGAAAGATGCTTGAGGCGTCCTGGTTAACATGACCAATCCAGCTATAAACCGCAGGGAAGAATGCCTCGTAATCACCTGTGATATGAGTTAGTATATAAGACTCTTGTTTTGATGGGTATAGTGCCTTACTGGCCTATGTGACAACCGTTCCGTTGTTCTTCACCTGTTTATTCAGTGGAAGACATATAATAAAAGTGGTGAGTATGTTTAAGGTTGACTTTGTTCTTGATGCGATCAAAATCTAGGTCTGACAATGTTCTCTAAAGAAGTGATAGAAGTGTTTGAATGATTTGACTGCAAACGACTTTGACTTAAACGGCTCTGACGAAGGCGACATGCCAAAACGTTAGCTGTTTGATTGTGTGATTAAGGTTTAGATATGACACCTTATGCCTCGTTCAGAGACAAAGAAGAAAAAATCTTCTAACATCGCTCAAGAAGACGAAGAATCGAATCAAATGTCAGAAATAGTGGTATCCGGACAGTGAAAAGTAAGCACTGTGAAGGCGGATTAATAAAATGTCTAAAAAAGTTCGTCCTACCAGCCAAATCAACAGAATATATAATCACGACATCAACGTTTGACGTTTAACAACTGGAGGAAGACAACTCATTTATAACGAGAATCTAAATTTTCATGGTGTTATACCGCGTATACAACACACTTGCTTCTCATGTGAATGGTATAGATTGACCTCATAACTTAATCTCTTTGACTACTATAATGCGCATAGTTAAATGCTCAATCAAACTAATCGAATCGAACTAATTGAACTAACTTACAGCGGACTTGAGTCCGACTGCTGCGATGTCTGGACGCTGTTTAGATAGATGAGAACGGCGTACTGCGTCGCACTAAATATCTTTATGTGAACATGCGAAACCTCACGATCAATCAACGTGTGGCCCAAGAATAGACTTCTCATTGACGATTCAACATTCACACAAAATAAGCGTAACGATCGAAGCCTCTTACTTGACCTTCTAGGAATCTGGCCTAACGGGGCGTTGTCGCACTCTCCTTGAATAATATATTTATGAAGAAAAGGAAAAAGGATAATGCTATCGGCGTCCATCAATCCCTGACTCATGCGTCATGCACTCTTCCTCAAATTTTTTGAATTTCTTTTGAGGTGAACTTTTACATGTTGATGTACTTTTTATCTGTCCTTGAGAATGGCGAATGCGAGGATACAAATGAAAGACAAGAAGTGGTGAAAGTTACACATGTGCTGTTGGGTCTTGTTACAATGAGAAATTATCTTTTCGCCTCGACAATCACCACATCTGCATTTATATAAAAACGTGAGTACCTTTGCCACACTTTCTAGATGAAACAACTGCTTCTACTATAGCTACATGGCAACAGTAGATATTTTGCCAGGCCCAGTCGAGATTAGAGCTTACCTTCAACTGCTTTACTAAGCAGAAGTTTTGAACTCTTCCCATATTTCGTTGACATTGGGATTAAGGTCCAGTTCAGAGAGTAAGACCGTTCCAAATGATTGGCAGCCAAACAGGTAGTAGATCAGACAGTCGAATTGATAGACGGAAAAACATTATGACGGCTAGACAGACAGTTGTACAGGTAAATTTTCAAATCTTCTCTGAGGAGTAGGGTGTTAGACACAGTAATACAGTTCTACAACTAAATGTTTCGAAAGTCTGAAGTGAAAGCATTAGGCAGTTAGATGGTTGGATAGTTAAACAATAGACCGAATGAGAGACACAGACAATCAAGTAACTAGGCAATTAGATAAGTAGATAGTTACACGTTTGAGCATTTATTAAAGATAGGAAATTGCAAGAAATGCTGATAATTGTATTTCTGGCATTCAATCCGTCTTTTATCTTTTTTTTTTTGAATGTAACAGCATGCTGACTACTTCCCTCCATTCGCACCCATTTTCAATTCTCTCAGCAAAGCGCCTTTTGTGCTTCACTTTCAGAGTTCAACAACTCTTTCAATAGCCTATATATCGCAAACTTTAGCACTATATTTTGTATCCAAAAAGCCTGTATACTACGACGCTGTTTTCAATAAGACTAGTATTATGTTTCCACACTAAAACATTCTTTGCTGAAAATCGCTTTTAATTTAAGATTTTACTGATCATTCGATAGTCTCAATCCCGTGAAATTTCAACGGCACACTTGGTTTTCTGGAAATATTTTTTCTTGCTTTTTACTACTAGAAGAATTTCATTTAGTATGCGGCTTGCATTCTTTCTTGCAATGTATGGATAACATCTCGCGACAAATGGCATCAAGCCATTGTGGTTTCGGAACATTACACACACGCCGAAAGGAAACGAGCGTCAAGTGCGATACCTCATTTTTTTGGCTGCAACGAAACACTAAGCTTGTTCCGAAAACTAATTATACCACCGAAATTGTTGAGATTTGTGGTATTCATGCTGTGCTAAAGAAAACTGCCCAAGTGTGAGACATAATTTTGTTCTCACTGCTAGAACACAAATAGTCGTTTTGGAAATCAAGTACTCTGAAATTCTCAAGATTTAAGATATCAATTAATTCAAAAAACTCTTGAAAAACAAGAGATAACGCCTTTTTCCAAAAACGTGTGTGAATAAGGGAGTGTATCAAGTACTGCCTAAGCAGGTCTTCTTCACAGCTCTTTGTAATCTCGAGGATACCTGGCGATGACGTTCCATACCGCGATTAGTATTAGGTGCCGGAGAGTGTTGAAGGCGGGGACCAGCTTCGCGGTTGCCACGAGCATCACAACCACTCGGCCATCCACAGTTTTTCATTTACGGAGTTTTCACTAGTATTGATGGATGGAGAGCCCACGTGGCCCAGTGTTTAGAGGGGATCTGCGTCGCACACTTGGTCGGTGGCTCAATCTCGTTCTCATGGCTCACCCAGACTTGTCTAGAAATATAAGCAGCACTGATTCGATACAGCAGTAGGCCACAACGAGTGCTTGTAAAGGTCAAATGTGCATCCGATCACTTCAAAAAGGTTTGAAAAAAAATGAGGAGTGCACGCATGCGTTAGGGATAGATGAGGCCGAGAGCTTTATCATTATTCCTTGTATTCATTAATATATTACTCAAAGAGAGTGCAACACCACTCAGTTATTCCAGACTTCTAGGAGGTTAAGTAAGAAGCGCTTCGATCTTTGTGCCTATTTCGTTGTGAATATCAAATCGTCAATGAGAAGTCTTTTCTTGAGTCAGACAATGGTTGATCGTACTGTTTTTCATGTTTG